TCATGGAAAAGATTTCTAAATTGTTCAACCTATATGCACAATTAGAGTCTGCTGTTTTCGTGGTGATAGTGACATGTGCCACATGACTTATGCTTGCCAACGCTTCTCCTCGAAAGCCAAAGGTGCTGATGCGCGATAAATCATCATAACTTGTGAGCTTACTCGTAGTAAATCGCTCGCATACAATAGCCATATCTTCTCTCTAATAAAGGATCAATTATTTAAAATAATCAGTAAGCTTAATTGGTAGTTTACTTTTTTTCACAACGCTTACCCTAATTCCATGCCCGTTATCTTGAATCTGAAGGAGCTTCAAGCCTCCCTCTTTAATCAAGATCTGGATATTGGTTGCACCAGCGTCTAGGGAATTTTCTATCAATTCTTTTAACGCGTTGGCAGGTCTGTGAATGATCTGAAATGAAACTTGTTTAGTCTAAAAACAAAATATTATATTATTAATCATTTTTAGAAATACTACCTCACCGGCTGCGATTCTGTTTACAACGCAATCCTCGAGCTTCCTAATTGGTCTTGGATTCTTGATACTTTCAGAGGTGTCGGTACTCATTTGAATAGGTATTTCGCGTCATCTTTCGTGTTACTATTTATACGTACAAGATTCTTTCTTTCTGCATTAACATGTGATCAAATTAATCAAATTATTTTTTTCACAATAAGAGAGTAATTTTAATGCTAGTTTATCTATATTAAACTATCTATTTTTTTTTCTTAAGCCAGTATTATAAATCTGGTCAATAATAGTTTACTATAAAAGTTAAACTTACTAGAATTAATTAAATGTAATTATTTTAATTTTATTTCTTAAATTATTTCGCAAGCAAATTTGCTTGCAAAATTGAATAATATTAATAAAACAATAATTTATTAATAATATAAAGTATATTTATCTTATAAAAAATATTTTTAAAATTATTAATAAACTTTTTTAATTTTTTTTATAATTTTATATATTATATTTTTGAAAATAAAAAAAATTTTTATTTATAATATAAATTCAAATTTTTACAAATAAATTACAAAAAATATAATAATAATAATTATCATTTTTTATATAAATTATAATATTGTATTAAAAACTATTTGTTTAAAATTAATACTTAAAAAATTAATATATCAGTATTTTATAAATACTTAAAAATTTTTTCTTATAATATAATTCTTATTTTCAAATATTATTAAAATTATTTTTATTGATTTTTCAAACAAAATTGCTTGAAAATGCTTACAAATTAAAAAATAATAATTAAATTTATTAAAAAAAAATATTAATAAAAATAAAAAATTAAGTTTTAATATTTGAAATTCTT